TCAACAACAAAGAAAATAATCCAGTCAAAAAATGGGCAGAAGAGCTAAAAAGAAACTTCTCTGAAGAGGAAATGCAAATGGCCAACAGGCACATGAAAAAATGTTCAACATCACTTGTCATCAGGGAAATGCAAATCAAAACTACCATGAGATACCATCTTACACCAGTGAGAATGGCACATATTAAAAAACTAGCAACAACAAATGTTGGCGAGGGTGTGGAGAAAAAGGAACTCTTCTGCACTGTTGGTGGGAGTGCAAACTGGTCCAACCACTGTGGAGAGCTGTGTGGAGATTTCTGGACCTACTAAACATAGAGCTTCCATATGATCCAGCAATTCCACTCCTAGGTATTTACCCAAAGGACACAGAAACATCAATTCCAAAGAACACCTGCACCCCTATGTTTATAGCAGCACTGTTTACAATAACTAAGCTTTGGAAACAACCCAAATGCCCAAAAATAGATGACTGGATCAAGAAGATGTGGTACATATATACCATGGAATATTACTTAGCATTCAAAAAAGATAAACACATGCAATTTGCAGCAACATGGATGGCGCTGGAAGGGATCATGCTCAGCGAAATAAGCCAGAAAGAAAAAGAAAAATACCGGATGGTCTCACTCATAGCAGGAATCTAGAAAACTTAAATAAGGGACCAGGAAAATGAATAACTATAAGAAAGTGAAAATCAAAATCAACAAAAACTATGAACCAGAGACATTTTTAGGGGGCGGGAGGGGAGGGATTGGGTCAGAATGGGGGGGGGCTGCAATTGTATGGGGAATATAAAAATAAAATTTATTATTTAAAAAAAAAATAAAATTTAATTTGCACCAAAAAAAAAAAAAAAGAGAATATGTCTGGAGAGTTGAGTAGTGACAAGTAGATTATTGAGTATATGGTGACAGGCATAACAGAATACAGTAATAAATATGGAATCTTTATATGTTCAGTAAGGATAATAATGAAACAGCTTTGAGGAAATTTAACCTGGCACAATCAGATAAATTAGACTGAAATAGATCAGAGAACAGAAGCAGGTAACCTATATAAAAGATGGCTGCAATGATCAAAACTGAAGTTTGTGAAGAAAAAGATTAAGGGAGTTAAGTAATGAAATTATATAGAGAAGACATGCAAAAATCTTGAAAGAGTGATCATTTTGGACAAAAGAAGGCCCTTTAGCAACTAATTATGATTCTCATCTTTGTCAATTAGACTTGCAACACTTTATTTCTAGTTACATATAATCTTATCCATAAAGAAAGTAAGTAAAGGTAGAATTCAACTGTACTGAATAAAAATACATATTTGTATTACCCCTTAAGACATAAGAGCTGCTTAATGCTGGCACTGTATACTTATTGCACCATCTAAATGTAATAACTTGAAACAGTAAGTTTTGCCCTATTCCCTCAAGATCAAAAGATTGCTCTCAAGCATTCTCCAGAGGTATAAACTCTCTTGAGGAAATACCATGCTCATAGCTCCCAGAAGTGTACATTTGAGTACCATTAGCAAAGGAAGAATGGTTTGCCTCAATTTTCATGGGAATACACAAGGATAAAGGTCATTGCTAAGGTAGCGAGGACTCAAAACACCCAGGGAGACCCGATGCCTGAAGTCAACACCTCCTATAAGATATGGAAACACAATAAAGAATAATTTAGATGACAGCTGGTATTGACAATTTCCAGAAAGAGCTGAGCCATTGAAGACAGCCACATTTCACATTCTTGGCAGAAATCTATTTGATGACTGTAGAAAACCAGGTAATATCAGCAAAGGAGACATTTTCAAAACACAGGCTGAGAGCTCAATATTAAAAGCAGATGAGAAGTAAATACGCCTCTCTCTAGCTAGATGTTGAATTGTAAATATAAACTTGTGATTATCCAAACTGTTAAAGGCAATGTCCCCTTTTGAAAGGTCTACAGACTTTCACCAAAAATAGCAAAAGGAAAAATTATTCACACCAACCAAGCTTGTGTTATTTCAGAGACCTTTAGAATGAGGGCTTGCTCATTTCTGTATTTTACTTCAAGTCATGCTCTATAATGTACAATTTAGGGCCAAAAGAAGATATTCCTGTTTTGGCTGATGCTGTGATACAAAATGCCCAAATGGTTCTGAAAAATCATTCTCAATAAATATTCCTAAATACCACACTAGGGTGGAAATATGTGATGGGACTATCCAATTACTAGCACAATTAAAAATAAATAATTTTTTAAAACAGTTTTTAAAAGAATCATACAGGTAATAAAAATAATCACAATGCTCCAATACAACGTCTCTTTCTTTCTGTGTGTGTCCATGGGTGTGTGCACACATACATCTGTGCATGTGTCTCAGTGTGTACAAACTCTCTCAGCTGACCAATTATCTACCATGATGCTAATGTCTTTGAGACATATGGCCCTTGTTTTTAAGAACAAACAAGATTTATGGCTATATTTTCCCCTGCATGAAAAACATGTAATTTAGTTTCCTTTACCTGTTGTTATCAATTTTCCCTCACTATGGAGCAAAGTTTAACAAAAGAAACAATAGAAAGTATGTTATCTTTAAGGAAAAAAAATGAAAGTTTGAATGTTGGTGTAAGGCTTTTATTTTTATCTATTTATACTATTTTAGCTAAAAGTGGGATTTTTCATTTTTTTTTTTGAGTCACTCTGAAATTTCTACTGTGTTCAGATAAGCCAACCATGACATTGAACCATAGAAAAAATACTAACTACATTGTCAACCCCAGAAGTGTACAAGGGAAAAAAGTTTCTCCAGACCTATATAAATTTATTAGCAAGAATATTTAACATTTTATATGGTTAGCACAGTGTAAAAAATACTGTGGAGGACATCCAAACTATTAAGATATTGTGCCCAATCCAAATGATTTACTGTTTTATTTTCATCATTTTATTTGAACCAGAAAGCCACAATTCTAAGTGAAGCAAAATGGAAATATCTACATTAACAAACCCTGCTCATTAGTGAAGTTGTGCCACAGGCACCCAGGAGAGAGGACTAAGAAATGAGCCTTTCTCTTTTCTCTGGCTCTTTCCAGTCTCCCTCCCTTAAATATAGATATATCTCGAATTTCATGTCACGATTATTTTAGCCACTGATGAAAATAACATAATCTCATAAAGTTGATGACAACATTCCGAGTTTAAAAAAGGGAGAGTTCAAAAATGTACACTTCCAACCCTGAAAGAGTGGGTCAGTTTTTGTTAGTAACTCAGTAGTCTGGGGAAAGCACATACCCCTTCACATGCAAGGTATATTCCTGCCAACATGTCATGGGATATATTTACATGAATCCAAATTATATGATGTAGCTTCTCAGTTTATAGCTCCTATTTACAAGAATCTTATATATAGTCAGGGTTTTGTGTATATTTAATTAGATATAAAAACTATAGGCAAAAGATTTATTTTAATGTTTTTGTTTTTTTGTGTTGCTGTGGACTTTGCTCATGGGTGAGTAGAAATAAGCTTAGGCAGTGCAAATCTTGTTCCTACAGGGCAGGCCCTTTGCATTGCAAAAACAGAATCGTATAATTTGCATGAGCCCTTGCCTAGCTACCTTTCAACACCTCTATTCTATCATGGCTCTAGGGGAATGAAATTCACAAAGTTTTGACTATGCTAATCTATCTGCAGTCTGATATTTTCAGTAAAAAAGTAAACAAAGCAGGAATATATATTCGATTTGGCAGCCTGTTTCCTTGTTATCAATATGCAAAAACCCACCTGTTCAAATTTTACAAGCAATCTCACAAGAACAGCACTGACAGGCTGATGGGTTGACAGTATGCTAGCATTTCCTGTTTAGGCATAGTCATAAATTCCAAAATGCACATTCAAAGACTTGTCTGCTGCCCCAGGTATGCAACTCTGATTATAAGGAAAATATTGACTACCTAACAATTATTTTACGCTTAATGTAACAATAAATTATGCAGCAAAATCTGTGTCCCCAAACTTGCAGATCTTCAGGTACAAGATATTCATTGGGGTAGTTGAAAGGCATGGAACATCTTTAGGTAGTTACTTTTCAGGAAGAACCAAATTACCTGCTGTTTCAAAGAACATTGCTTTTTATTCCCTTGGTATCAAATCAATAAATGCCCTTCCTGCACAGCATTTGTTATTTAATGGCCCCAAAGAGATAATGCACAGACTAAATTGAACACGATTCGGTATCTACACCAAGTGGGCCCTCAATTAATGTTGATGGATTGACTTTCTCACAAGCAGTAAAAGCTCAATTTATAGAGATGGATATTACGAGACCAAAATCAATAATTTAGAAGCACTGTGTATTGTCTTGTGTGTGCCAGCACAACAATATGTATAAATGTAAGAACTAACTTCCATTTTTTTATATAAAGGTGTTTTGTAATTAACTGATAAATACTAAGAGAATTGTAACCTTTTTAAGTCATAAACTCAGCATAGAGATGCTATTAATTTGGGTAATTTAACAAATATTCTGATAATGATATTGGATTGCTTATGAAGAATTAGAAGACTAAAAGTCCAAATGTAAGATGAAAGCTTGTTGATCACTAATAATAAATTGAAATCACAGTAATAAAGATTGCTACTAGTGGGAAACCATCATTTGAAGTGATCATTGTAGATTATCTCTGGTGTGTAGATCTGGATAATTTTCTACATTATTGTATACTATTCTTTTAAGAAAAATAAGGAGGTTTTCAAAGATGTGATGGAAGTAGCCAAGTAATTTGAAAGCCTAATGAAGTCCCTCTTCAGTTTCCATCAGGGCTGTCTAGTTTTAGCCCTTGATCAGGTGACAGATTAGAAAGCATCTCTTTAGTCAAAGTAGAAGCAGAGCGCGAGAGGGAATGGGCTGTTGGGTGCTTCAGCAGAGCATTGCCCTTGCACCCTATGTTTAAGCCAGAGCTGTGCTCTACCTTTGAAAAAGTTTGAGCAAATAAACTGACAAGTATTGAACACCAGAAGATGGGAAGTGGAATTAGTTCAGAGAGCAAAGAGTCAGCCAAAAGATCAAAAGAACTGGAGAAAAAGCTTCAGGAAGATGCTGAACGAGATGCAAGAACTGTAAAGTTGCTATTATTAGGTAATTTTTTCCTTTGCTTTTGAAACTATAATGTTTTCTTTAGTTGTGATATATATTCTTTTTAAATTTGAATTTAAAATGTTTTAAAATGTATAGATTATAAAAATGTATTTGGAAATGAGATTCTATATGTACACTATAGAAAAATATTAATATTTTCATAGGATTTTATTACATGATTTTGTTAAGCACAGATACAAATATGTTATCAAATAACACAATTTATCTTTGCTAATAAGACAATTTACTATAGTTAAAGAAATTTCATGTTTATTATTTTATGGCACCCTAACCATTTCCTGAAGGTTAGCACTTTTACTAAAAACTAAAATCATTTCATTCCAAGTTGAAAAGATCTGGTAGTATGTTTGAACAGAAATATGTTGCGTTGCTATCCTAGTTAATATTTCTTAATTACTTTTGTGGTTACAGTTATTCATTATTTAGAGAATATAAAATATATTATACTTTAAATTATATTAATACTATTATCCAGGCTACTGAATGCTGCCTGTGCTACTATCTGTACATTTGAAAATTACTTCATTTAAACCCTTTCAGGACCTTTGCATGTTCATTCAAATCAGGAATTATGTCTATTCAAAACTTAGTGTTGTACAACAACTATAAATTTAATCAACGGTCAATGAATTAAAGAATGAAAATAAATGTTATAACATACACTTGTCTATTGTAGAAATTTAACATTTATTAATCAAATGGAAATAAATGCATCTTTAGATAAATATACATATATATGATAATAAGAACTTTAATCATGGTTGTTTGTACTTCCTGGTCTTATATACAAAATGGCTTTTACAAAATTGGGGGTCCTTCAAGTGAAAAAACTACTCAGTTTTTAAGTGTCCCTTCATTTTCTAATTTGTTCCCTATGGCGAGAATTTCTTAGAAACAAACCGTAGAATTCCCAACACTTGCTCCTCAAAGGAAAGGAAATATTTTCTCCCTTTCTTGCTCAATTTTTGTTGTTCACATTTGCCCATAGCTCTTGCAAGCAACCATCTAGAGGTTGGTAACTTACAAAGCTGTTGGGGACAAATCTTATAAAACCAGCAAATATACTTTCCCTAACACTCCAAAGTATTCTCCAAGACTTTGATCAAGAATGAAAGTGTGTGGACATAGAAAAAGCAAGTTAAAGGGGAGAGGAAAAGCCAAGCATTCCTGCAAATGCATCTGAGTCCCTCTTGTACTAAGAGCAATGTTATAAAAGGATGTTAAAATACATTAAAAACCTCTATGTTTGAATAAATTTTCTAAAGAATAAACATGTTTTCAATATACCAAGTATTTTTAGATTAAAGTAGTGAGTTAAATCAGAAAAAAATATAAAGGTTTTTATACCAGGTGTGTGATAGAATCATTAGGTGGTCACATTACATCCTTTATTTTCCCAAGGCAGTCAAAATTGCACAAATTCATTTCCATCATTACCATACAATATGCTTGGACTTATTTGGTTCCAATAATATGTGCACTCAACTTCTCATTCACCTTTTCTTTGTACAAATAAAACAAATTATCTTAAGCACTCCCTATTTCAATTATATTCCAAGCATCTAAGCTTTCTCTTCTTTCTTTGAGTTATATGGTGATCTAATAGTCAAGTTCAAAAAAAACAAGTCTTGTAACAATAGCTTTCTCATTTATTTATTTATTTATTTATTTATTTTTTGCTTTCTCATTTTGAACTGCATTCAGTTCTCTAACCCATAATCTTCATACTCAATTTTGTGTTATTAAAAATAAAAGTGCGCAGGCCTCCCCTGGTGGTGCAGCTGTTGAGCACTGGGCTGCTAGGCTGCCCGCAGCCTCTGCAGCAGCGGTTCATTCCCTGGCCGCAGGTGAGGGTCCCACAAAAAATAAAAAAATAAAAAAAAAAAATAAAAGTGCTCAGTGGAACTAAACTAAATCTTTTATCTTTTGTTCTTAGCTGAGGCCACATTGTTTTACAATACTGTGTATGATTTAAAGGTATAAGATCATGCCCTTCAGGTGTATATTACCACACCCACCATGAAGGTACCATGGACAAACCTCTAGTTAGGATCACAAAGGAAAAAAAAAAAAAAGAAAGAAAAAGGAAGCAAACTTAAGTATAACCAGAAACAAAAAAGAGTAACTAAATTAAATCTTTCTAGCCTCCTACCCTTACATTCTCTCACCAGTGACAAAGCAATACAAATCAACAATGACTCTTATTCATCATTGTGGGCTGAACAACAGTTTTTAACTTATTGGTGGGTATATGTTATGGGGGGTTAGCTAGTTAGCCTTATTATGGATCAGATTCTGAATCTAAAACTATGCTTATAAAGATTAGAAATCTAAAAAACATTTTGACATAATTCATTCTATATGTTGATCTTCTAATTATCTGATGATATTCTAGATGCCAAAACATATCACACAACTTTTCAGATTTAATTGGTATTATAAAATAGATGGGCCATTTTGCATTATTGAACACCGACTTTACTGAACATGAAGAACTATCCAAGTGCTACTTTACAAATAAAGGATGACTTTGCAGAGAGAGTTCCTTTTAATTATGCCTTTCAGACATTCAGTAAAATTACAAAAGAGATGCCAAATCTGCTTCTTTAACAAAAGATAATGTTCTATGAAACACTAGATACAGATGATGGCTGGGGCATTTGGTAACTGCCAGCAAGACAATGCCAGATGTTTTAAAATAAATAGGCCTATCTGGTGAATTCTCTCACCCTCCCATGCTTCTGACTGTACCCAGTGCTTGTATAGATAAATAAATAAATCTTAAAAATAAATAAATAAATAAATAAAATAAATAGGCCTATACAGAGGCATCAGAAAGAGTACACTTTAAAAAAAGAAGCAAATTCTAATAAAGATATTCTCTACTATAGACTTCCTACATTAGTTTTTGAGACAAGTTACAGATGTTTAATCAAATTATTTATACTCAAAAGAAACATTTGACAATTGTGGAATCAATGTTGCTCACATTTACTTATTTCCTTTGTCTCCTCTACATTTAATTCAAGTTTCAGTTTCAATTTATTTTACTATATTAATTTTTTGTGCTTTTACCAATTACATCACGTGACCTGATTAGATTCAAAGTTCCATGGCAAGTTTCAAGAAAAAAATCAGTTTTTTTCTTCATGTTTGAAACATAGCCACATCCGTTCTACAAGTCTCAGTGATAATACTATAATAAACCTTATTTAGTAATTTCCAACACTATCATGGGCTAATTATAATTGATGTAATTTTCCTTACATTCTAAAATCTTTTATTCCAAATTGCTCAATGTACTGTATTATAAATATCACACTAATTTTTTATTGCTGCTATCATTGTTGAATTGTTTTAAAATACTGTTCCAATCACTTAGCTCTTAGAAATATGAACCTGAATGGAACATATAGACAAAAAATAAGTACTTTAAATGTGATTATATTTACTAAGATAATCACCATTTTCAAATTTTCAAGCAACCCTTCTTGTTTAACAAATGGACATTAGATAAATGCCAATGTTATCTAACGAATAACAAAAACAATACAAAATAACAAAACAATATAACTAAATGTTCTAAATTAAAAGGTTAAATAACGGAATAATCAAAGGATATATAGAAACCTTGATTGGATCTTAGATTCAAGAAATATTTAATCTATAAAAAATATTTTTTAACGGTCAGATAAATTTGAATATGAGTACAAATTATACAACATTTTGTATTAAATATGAATTTTCTTAAGCATGAAAATAGCTTTGTATGGTTTTACAGAAAAAAATAGCCTTAATCTTAAAAAGTGCTTTCCGAAGTGTTTATAGACAATGTGCCTAATTTTAAATGCTTCTCCAAACAAAGGAGAAAAATATTTTTTTTAAGATTTATTGTTATTTATACAAGAACTGGGGTACAGGCCAGAGGCGTGGGAGGATGAGAGGATTCACCAGAGACAGAGTGGGGAACAGAACAGGCAGACGAACCTAAGACACTGCTGACGGGAGCAGCAGGTGACACAGGAGAGGTCTGCCACGCCATGTTGGTAACTCTGTGGCCGGCCAGGATTGAACCTGCACTACAGAGGCTGTGGACAGTTTCACAGAGCTGCGTGCAACCACCTGCGCCACCCAGGAGGCCCAAGGACAAAATTTTATGTGTGTGAAGTTAATATGTGTACGCAGTACACATTATTTATACTTTGATAGATCCTTAGAAACTGACTGTATAAGGAAAGCAGGTTCTTGAACAATGTCCATCAGCTGAGAATTTTTCTTCCTCATCAACTTTATAATTAAGAGACATTGAACAAAGCTATGGTATATGAAAAGAAGGCATATCTGTTGTATATGAAAGAAGGCAAAGATGACAAAGCTTTAATAATTGGCAAAGACAAAGGGTGTAAAATATAGGTTCTAATGTACTATTTTCTTAAACTTCCAAGATTTCAAGATTATTAAAATAAAGTTTGGAGGGGCTCCCCGGTGGCGCATAGGGTTGAACGCAGCACTGTGAAGCTGTCCGCAGCCTCTGCAGAACGGGTTCAATTCTCGGCAGGCCAGGGAGAGTCCCACATGGCGCAGCAGACCTCTCCTGTAGTGCCCACTGCTCCCCTCAGCAGTGTATTTCGGTCGTCTGTCTGTTCTGCTCCCAGCTCTGCCTCTGGTGAATCCGTTCACCCTCCTGCGCCTCTGGCCTGTACCCCAGCTCTTGTATAAAAATAAATGAATCTTTAAAATAAATAAAATAAAATAAAGTTTGGGAAAATAAGTGCATTGTATAATTGGTTTTCTGAAAAAATTCAAATTTATCTGAAAATGTATCCATATTGCTTTACAAGTGAATCCTACCCATTAGCTCATGAGCAAATAATTTAAAAATTATATGAACTTTATATGAGCTTTTTAAGGCTATTCTTCTCAATCCAGTATTTGATAACTTTAAGGGGAAAAAAACCCAAAACCTAAAACCCAAAGCA